GCACCGCAGGTGCTAAAATATCAGAGTCGTAGCCTGTTAAATGGTCTCCTTGGCTACGAGAAACAAGGCGATGTAGGACTACGCCGAGAGAATGCGGAGTGACAGAAGATATGGTTTACAATTTTGGTACCTCATATCGCATATTTTTAACTCTTATTACTTTCCTGATCTAGCGGAACAATGCCACTAACACTAGGCCACATTACAATGTCATGGGCTTATAACCGTCTTCTGGTTAAAATTCATAAGAAAAATTCACAAGAAAGACATAGAGCAATCTTTATAAGAGCACGTAAATGATTATATTCTTTCGATTAATACCTTACTCCACAGAGAGGTGAAGTAGGTGCCGGTGCACTTTTCCTCGCTGGTGCAGTTCTGCGTGCTGTGGGGCATGAAATTCGGATCGCAGTGCGTTTCGTCCACCTTGAGCAAACGTTTGTCTTCTTCTATGGCACAAACGACAGAGCGAGTCATATGGCCGTGGCCGCATTTTGTTGAACACTGAAGAATGATGATACAAACATTGACAAATAAAACGATATATGAACTGCCGTTGTCAGAAATAATCAGTACAGTACTTACTTTCGACCACTGAGACGAGTGCCACAGATACACACATGGAACGACGGTTGCGCATTCCCGTTCGTCGACTGGTCGCTCCTCCGCGCACTTTTCGTCAGGATACACCCGGCCGTTCTGATCTTGACAGGATACATTGCGCGATTCGGTTGTGTCATTGCATTTCTCGCACTAGAAAACAAACATCGTTCAACAATCAGGCAGCGTAACTTGAGATCGATCAAACATTTCATTGCAATGTATTTTGTGCGGTAGAATGGGGTTATTTATGCTTTAAATTTATTGTCTATTCTGTGATATTTTGCTGTATAGCGAAGCAGAAGTGCCTTACTACAAAAATGGAGCGCCAGACAAAACAGGCGTGTGGGCCTTGTGGTGACACGCCGGGAACGAGAGGGCTATAGTCAGGTGATGCTGAATGGCACGGGTCAAAGGTAAAAGCTCGCTACTCTTAATAAGAACATTTTAAGGGGTACACACGGACTGAGTCAGAGAGATTACTTGAGGGTTTTCAAGCTTTTCACACTTGATTTATGGTTGATATGATAGTGGAGGAGACTCAGTGCTGCATCATATCTTCATATGGAGAAAAATGCAAATGGAGTGAAAAAATAGACTCGCGCGACAGGTGACTACATGTACTATTTCTTGATTAGCTGAAAACTGATTAAAATTGTTGAAAATGAGACGCTTTCAGGTTTATGCGCTTGAAGCTGGACTACATCTTCAGCTTCTTAAAATGCGAAAAATGAATATACAAAAAATATCAACTATGTATGTCGAAACATTACAAGATTTAATTACAAGATTCTAAAAGCACATACTCTATGCATAACCTTGCCTAAGTACCTATACTTATGCGATATTCACGAGTGCTGGATACTGACTAAATAAATGCGTTCCTCGTATACGAGGGAGAAATGAAATGAACTTCCTCATAAGGACTGATGACGTAAAAGGCTGTAGAAGCTTCAGAGGACGGGAATTTGAGGCATTTATTTATGAACTACCTATTTTCAAGTTTGAGGTATCATATCTGCAATGTTATAGGAATGTGATCAGGGCCAGAACTACTCCCAGTATAGACTTACTTCTAAGTCACATGACACGCAGCCATGCTGCAGACGACGCGAAGACCGGATGGATCGAACATGCCTATCATTGAAGCTCCTAGCAATACTGCCTAACTAACTGAAGAACTTAACCATGCAAGAGACTTTCGATGGTCGCTTCTCCCGCAGTATGTGAGAATAAACTGACTAACTAGTCATTCTACGGTAAAAAACGTGATTTTAAAGTTTTCCTCGGAACAGAGTAATTTATAGGTAGCGGTATATAATATAATAATATAAAAGTAAGCGCTAAGACGAATATGACGAAAAGTAACCGACAAACAAATGTCCACATAATGATATTAACAGTTCCAGTAATAGGTAAAAATTGAACCATGTCATATATTCAAGGTAATCAAATAGACCGAGCCGTATTAGTTTGGACGATATGACCGTAATAAAGCGAAAGTAATGTACAAAAGTTTGAAAACCAATTTACATGGTTTGAACAGCTCCTCAGACAAAATCAAGCGCACGAAAATTTGACGCACAGGAAGAAATTTAAATATATAAATGCATCATCGATGTGAGAGAAAACTTTCGTCTTAATAGCCTTTCAACGTTTTCCACACAGTCTAATGTAAGTGAATAATGTCGACAGCGGTGTTACATCTTCATAACTTTCATCTTTCCCCTTAATAACAGCCATGACATTTCATTGCCAACTAACAAAGCAATATTCCCAGCACTGTGTTTTTGCTTAAGTAATATCAGATCTATGGTCTCAGCAGTAATGTTATCACTCATCACTCTGCATAGATCTTGCACGGCTGACGAAAAATTCCCAAAAATCTGGGTAGCTCACTATATAAGCTGTAAAACGTGCCAAAAGTCTTCTATCAGAAGGCAAATCAAAACTCGTCTGCATAATTATAGTCGGTTATTTGAACGCTGACAAAAGCAGCATCTGGTAAGTGTAAAACACTCAATGCTTGCGTAAGATTAATAGCAGTGAAATGAAGACCATAAACCTAACGGTACCTCTGTTGA